AAAAAAAGGAGCATCTCTCAATCCTGGATGAATTGTGTAGTCCAGTGAAGGCTGCCTCTGAAATATACATGGAGGCAGACTCATATTTTATCATTACTTTGCAGAAGAACCTAAAAATTACACAGAAGAATGGCCCAGCCATTCCAAATAATGTAACCCTAGCTAAATAGGAGATCCACAGGTGGTTGGATTAGAAGACCTCCAAGGTCCCTTCCAGCTCTGTTTTTCTATTATTCTGCCTCAGCCTCTACCTTTGTCAACTGTCTCCTTGATGGTAGCTTGTTCTTCTTTGAGTGCTGACTCATGATGTAGATTATTTGAGTCTTGGGCTTCATCTGCAACTGTGATCTTGGGGGAGCCTTGTTCCTCATATGTGCGGTAGGAATGGGAAATCCCAGGACAGTTCAATCTGCAGATACAGGAAATATGACACATACCTTGTTCTTCCCTTGGCCTTGTGAACCTATTTCTACATACATCTTGTGTACAAAACTTAACAAATGTTATATATGCAAAGAAAAAAGGAAAAGGATTTACGAGTAAGCTTTTATTAATTCTTGAAGCTATTGAACCATAGTATGAAAATGCAAAACTGAAATGAAATTAGTCAGTGTCAATACATATTCTACAACATGTATACACATTAAGTGGATAATCAAACATACAAAGCAAAAGGCAGGAGAAAGCCTCAGAGACCCTGAAAATTGTGTTTTCTGGTACAAACCACTTTCCGTGTCACATTTGACTTAATAATTGTTCTTTCTAGATCAATTACTGCTTTCCTTTACTCTTTCTTTGCATTAGTATCTCTGAAAGGTGAAAAAGAATTACTGGTCTGCTTGCTGATACTGACATCTACCTTTATTTGGAAGTAAATCCATTAAACAGACTGCCCCGGTTCAGATATAATGCAATGGCATAATGTCATTTATTTGGTTTTGGCACAGAATGATGAGTTAACTCACTTATTACGGCTCAGCATAATGCATGAACTACACCAGCAGAGTCAGTCTATATCTGGCACACAGATTGATCTAATTGCAACTCCTCTTTGAAGAAGCGAAGCTCCTGGAGCAATCAGGAAGAGAAACAAGGTGAGAAGACCAAGGATGCCTTTGCAAAGATTATTTGAAATTAGTGGAGGAAAGGCCCACTTGGAAGCCCAGAAGAGGCAAGTAACTGGAAAGTTCAGCTCTTCATCCCTTGTTTCCCTCCTGATTTTCACTCACAAGAAGTGGCTTCATCAATCCAAAGTGAACTTAGAGAATTATGAGATGTATTTCATGAAATATGAAATTAAGTGTCCATATTTGCAAATAAACATATAGAGGGCTGGCTTGCTAATGACACTTATCTAAGCTGCAGGCATACTTAATTCAATTAAATGGCATGAGTCATCCCAGTGCAGGCTGCCTGTTCTACTGTTAAGTTCAGATGTTTCTGAAATTTTTGTAGCACCTGAGCCAGAAACTTGACACAACAACTCAGGAACAAAAACGCTTAAGGTGAATAGGCAGGCACAAGAAAAATTATGAATCTAAAATTGTTAACCAAACAATGCATGGATGTGTCTTTTAACTTAAATAGCAGCTGGATGTTAAGAATAGACCTACTGGTGCAGCTTTTCTAGCCTCAAATTACTTTTGCACACCAAACTGCTGTTAAAGGTACAGTGACAATCAGATGCAAAACACATCCCTAGACAAATCCAAGGACAGGCTTTCACAGTGCATGCCTAAAATAGCAC